ATCAGATGGATGCATTTTATTTATCCTCACCCTCACAATCAATAGCATTTACAGATGCTGAGGAATAGAAATCACTAGACACAGTTTGCTTCTGAGTTTGCCCAACTGTGAATACGAAAGGATTTGCCTTCTCTTTGCCGGGATTTTTTTTTGTTTGTTTTTTAAGCACCAGAAATAAAGCCCAGGATAATTTGATAAGACAGGTTTTGAGTTTTTATGTTGTCGCAAATTATCTGACATTTTAGAGGGTGGAGCCTTGTGTAAAAAAACAAATGAAACATCCATTTTCTTTCCGCAGAAATTTTGAGAATTCCCATTTTTACTGACACTACACATCTTGATTGGTTCCAGTTTTTTTGTAAAGACGTAATACAAAATATAACAGCTCAGAAGGCAAAGACAACATTGCAGAATCTCAAATAGCGCTAAGAGTTAAGTACTGAGAATTGTTCAAAGAATTTTAAAAAAGCCTGGCTTAGGGGGAGGGTGTCCTGTGACAGTTTATTCTGCCCCCACTGCATGGCACGCTGGGAACCAGAGCCCCACACAAGGTTAATAAAAATGCACTTTAATTTGACAAAACGATTTATCAATCTCGAACTATTCCTCAATAAAGAAATTTAAAGAGACTGAAAAATATGAAGCATTATCTGCTGGAATGCACTGCGAAGCTAGAAATATTTCTGAGTTCAAAAAGCTTTCTGACACCTTCTTCTTTTTTTAAAAGATAGTGCAGAAAATGTGGCATTTCTTTCCATCTGATTCCTGTCTGCACAAAGACCCAGCTCTGGGCCCAGCACACAGTAGGTCTGCAGCAGGTTTTGGAGAACACAGCTGGAAGTATTGTGGTCTTTAGCGCCATATTTGTAAACTTGCACTTTCCCCTTTTACATTTTCATATGTTAAGCACCTGCACCCCCTCCCCTCCATTTTGGGGAAGGGAGTGACTTTTATTCTAAACAAAGCCTTGGTAGATGAGAGTATGGTGTGTGTGTGTGTGTGTGTGTGTGTGTGTGTGTGTGTGCGCGTGTGCGCGCGCGCGTGCGCGTGCAGTAACCTCAGAAGGGTCTTGGATCGTCGGCCTGCCAGGTGTCCTGGGGAGGGTAACAGGGCCGGGGCTGGGGCCCGAGCTCCGCCACTCGCTCCGCCTGCCTGTTGTCTGGGCATCAAGCGAGTGGGGAAACATTAGCGCGGGCCAGCTGCCGAAGCCGGGCGGGGTCGAGGGAGAGGTCAAGGTCGGCGGAGAGGCGGCTATTGATCCGGCTTGGAACGAGAGACAGGGAGCCCAGCAAGACTAAAGGGGGAGCTGTGAGACCAGACATTAACAGCTTTCAGCGCTAATGATGCCCGTGCCAGACGGGCAGAGGGAAAAAAAGGAGACTGGAGCGGCAGCTGGGATCGCTCGCTGCTTGCGCCCGGCCGCCTCTCCCGAGAGGAGGAGGAGGAGGAAGGCGAAGGGGCCAGCGCGGGGCCGGGCAGGGGCAGGGCAGCCTCTCCCCGGCCGCCGCGAGGTGGAGCGCGCCGGCGGGCGGCGGCGTGTCCAGCCCTGCGCCGGCCCGCCCGCGCGTCCTTCTTCCCGCCGTCGGGGCAGCGCGGGGCCAATGAGGAAGTGCTCCCCGGGTCAGTCGCGGCCCGCGCCGCCCCTCGCCCGCTACTTCCTGCTGGGGGTGGGGCGGGGTGCCCCCTCCCCAGACGCCGCCGCCCGAGCGCGCGCGACTTGGCAGCTGCCTCTGCGCGCCCCCCGCCCCAACCCCGGATGCCTCCGACCCCGCAGTCCACAGGGGGCGGGGGGGCCCTTTCTTGAAGGGGGACTACCCAGTCCCTCCCTCACTGCCCGCAGACCGGAGTCCCCATCCTTGCAATCAGCCCCAGGAGAGCGAGGGTCAGCCTGCTGGGATTTCGGGCGCCGGGGCGCAGGCGGCGCGGAACCGCCGGCGATTTGAGTCCAGACCTGCCTGCGTGCGCTGTGTGACCTTGGGCCACGCGCTCACCCTCTCTGGACTTCACACAGGCAGTTCTCAGCAAAAAAAAGAAAGCTCTCCCAAGTTTAAGAATGTGGGCGAGTTGGGATGGTCGGTGTATGGTATTCTTGAGAAGTTTATTAAAGGTGCGTGTCGGCATTTTTTTTTTTTCTTTTTACTTAGGCCACTTTCCTGGAAAGATTTTCGTGGTGGGGCTGGAGGAGAGGGAGGTGCTTCCAGAGTTTGGACCACGTGGAGGTGGGGTGTCGGTGGTGGGTGGTGGGCATGCAGTCCCGGGTGGGGAGGTCGTGCGGACTGGCTCTTCGCTCGCCCCCCTTCATCCCCCTCCGCCCAGTCTCTACCAGCTCGTCCCCCGACCCTGCAGCCCGGTCCACAAAACTGCCTGCTAGAACATATTTTATTATTAATTTTTAGTGGGGGGTGGCTTGGGCAGGGAGCTCTTTCTGTCCTCGCTAATGGACGCTGCGCTCTGGTAAGTTGTTGGTGCCGTCGCCCCACCCAAGACCTTGGGGGTGAACAACGCCCCCACCTCCGCCCCCGCCCCGTACCCCTCCAAGGAAAAGGCCCCGAGGGAGGCGGCGCGCCCGGAGGCGTCACGGCCCAGCCTAGCGCTCCCAGGAGGCCGCCAGAGCCCGGCCTGGGGGCGGGGTTGGGTGGGTGCAGCTGGGCTCGCCCGCGAAGCCCAGCCCCGAGCCAGGCCCCGACCCGCCCTGGCTGCCTCCCGGCCCAGACCCGAGAAACCTTGGGAAGGGCGAGGGGGCCGGCCGCGTGGCGCGTCCAGCTGGGAGGTCAAGTCGCGAAACGGATGAATTTGGCCGCAGCCGGAGGAGGGACGGGGGGTTGCGGGGGGTGTGGATGTCCACGCGGACCGCGTCCTGGCCTTGTCCCCGGGCCACGGACAGGCCCCCACACCTCCTCTCAGCCTCGCCGGCTGGAGATCAAACGACTGACAAGGCAGCTGTGTCCTTCCTTTCCAGACTGACGGGCGATTTCAAGTCCTGCCCTGGGCGGAGGAGCCCTGGCGTTACTTCCAGGCTGCAGTAATTGTCAAGGGGTGGGAGGGGACTGGGGGACCCGAGGGGGTCACCCACGCGAGTGTGTCCAAAGATCCGGCCACACCTACTGGGTCGGCAAGTATGAGACGCTCTCCCACGTGGAGCACCACTGCCCTTCACCCCCATGCTTCCGAAAAACCGCGGCATTAGGGGTGGGCTCCGTGTTTGACCCCCAGACTGAATGGGTCACCGCTAGTGACCTCCAGGGAGCGCAAAGATTTCGGGTGGACATGCCTTCCGGAATGGGACTCCAACAAGGTCTCACGTTTCCCCGCCCCCCAGTGTGCCCCGAATTCTCTCCTCTTAGTATCTTTTATTTTGTCCCCGTGGCTCTCCCACAGTTTGAAATGTCAGGATTTATATGGAGACACTTTTTAGAAGTTTAACCCCGACCCCTCAATAAAATCAAAGTGAAAACAACCAAGCTACTTTCCTAGGGAGACGGAGCAATTGACCATGTGCCCCCAGTTCCCGTGTCGACCCCAACACTCTTTCATAGCCACCCCCCCCCCAAGAGCTTTCGAATGAGTGGGTGGGGACTTGCGTTGCATCAACTTACTTCCACGCACACCGCACTCCGCCTCCCTTCTCTGGGGGTCCAGCTCCCTAGAGGGGAGGAGGGATGGAGAGGATTTTCTTTTTTTAAAAATATCTTGCCCACGGCCCTCCCTCCCTCCCCCCATTTTGCGCTGCCAGTGCACGGGGAGAAGAGGAGCGCACACAAAAAAACGCTGCACGTGTGGCCGGCCTGAACTGCGGGTGTGCGCACGGGCGAGTGTGTGTGTGTGTGTGTGCGCGCGCGCGCGTGTGCCTCTGTGTGTGTGCTTTCTTGTTCTCTTACAGGGTACAATGTTAAAAAGCCACCGCTAGTCGCCCCCAGTGCTCCGACTCTCTGGGTCTTTTTGTCTCTAGTGCAGATTAAACGTCACGTCCGCACTTGAACTTGAATTTTATCCCATTGTACAGAGGCAGCCCCAGCCATAGAGAGACCGAGAGCTCCCAGAGAACCCGGACTCCGCCATCTTCACGTTGCAATCTATAGCTCCCAGTCCGCGCCCGCACCGACCCAGGCGCACTGGGCGAGCCGCCCCGCAGCCCAGCTCCCCCCGGGCCAGCGGCTCCAGGGGAGCGCTGGGGAGCGCTCGCGGGGACCCGGCAGCCTCTCCGGCCGGCGCCAGCCTGCCAGGTGGACTGAGAAGGAGCCGCTCCTGGAGTCCCCCCAGAGCCTCGGAAGGGTCAGTCTCCGAGAAAAAAACAGGCAGCCCGCAGAAAACCCAGAAACCACCGAACCGGGGCAGTTTTTACATTGCTTTGGGTTTTTTGAGGGGGCGGGGTGAGGGGGAACGAGACAAGTCCTTAAGTTTTCTTGGCTGGTTTTTTTTTTTTTTTCTTTTCTTTTTCTTCTTTTATTTTTTATTTGTTTGCATTTCCCCCCCTTCCCCCTCCCCCCTCCTGGTAGAAGTGCGCTTTCCACCTACCAGACCCTGAAAGAAAGTGTCAGGAGCCGGTGCAAAATCCGATTTAAGTTCAAGGAGACATTTGGAAGCCCAGAAGGCCAAGCAGTTTGAAGAAGTGTATGCAATTTTTTTTTTCCTTGAAAAGAATATATTTTTGAAGAAGCCAGCCAGTCCGCGGCAAGCAGCAGCAGATTTTTTTTTTTTTTTGCCTTTCTCCTATTTTAGATCGAGAGGTTTTGCTTTTTCTTTTTCCTTCTCTTTTTCTTTTTGCAAACAAAAGAAAAAACAGCATAGAAGAAAGCGCAAAATAAAGAAGAAGAAGAGGAGGAAGAGAGGGCAAGAGAGGAAGGAAAAAAAAAAAACCAACCAAAACACCAACCCGGGCAGAGGAGGAGGCGCGGCGGCGGCAGCGGCGCGGCGGCAGCGGCGGCGGCTCCGGACCCCCTCCCCCGGCTCCCCCCCATCGGTCCAGCTCTCCGGGCGATGTCAGAATAGATGCCGGGGCAATGTCCCGCCGCAAACAGGGCAACCCGCAGCACTTGTCCCAGAGGGAGATCATCACCCGTAAGTGTCTGCGGCGTGCGCGCGAGGGGCCGGAGCGTGGGGCTCCGGGCGCCCAGGGCTGGGGACACCGAGCCGGGTGCAGCCGGGCCGGGTGCCCGGGCGGCCCGCGGGCTCGCACCGGGGCAGCGGCGTCGGCCCAGAGCCTGGTTGCGGGGGGCGGCAGGAGGGCCTTAGGAAAGTTTCTTTGCAGCCCGGGGAGTCCGGGCGCTGCGCAGTCCGATGCGCCCGGGGCTCGGGGGCCTGTGGAGCGGGCTCCGGGGCCGGGGAGGGGGCGCGCAGGCTGGAGGAGGTGTGTGTGTGTGCGCGCGCGGAGCCCGGCTGGACGCTCGCCCCTCCGAGCGGCGTGTGTGGCGGCGGCGGCGCTGGTGGCGGGGTTTGGAGAGGCGGGGGGAGGGGGCTGGGGGAGCGGAGGGGGAGGGGGGAGCCGGGAAGTGGGGAAAAGTTGGCGAGCGCGTGGGTCCGCGCTGACGGCGCAGGCGGAGGGGAGCGGGGTGCGCTCGGGCCTGGGGGAGACGCGGGGCGAGGGGCGGCCGCCGGCTCCGAGTCCCCCCAGTCGCGGCACCCGGCCGTGCAGGGCGCCGGCCACGCCGGTCCTCGGATTCCGCTGCCGCCTTTCTCTCCCCTCCTCGTGCTATTTGCAAAAGAATCCAGCTGCGCGGCTGTTTGCCGGGCTCCTGCACCCCCACCCCCATTTCCCCACCTCCGTCTGTCTCCTGGGATGCTCTTGTCTTCTTTCCCCCCACTCCAAAAAATAAAAAGGTGGGGGACCTCGGGGGCTGGTGAAAAATCCTCGCCACGGCGGGGGGTGGGGTGGGGTGGGGTGGGGGGGAAAGGGTTGTCAGCTCGGAGTGGGAAGAGAGGAACGTGCTTGTAAAATAGTGGGGAAAAAAAAGAAAGAAAAGAGGAAAAAAAGGGGAAGAGACCTATCCATCTCTTACCCATCTGCCTATCTCAGATCTTTCATCTTCCCCTATCTAAATAAACAAGGCAGGGTCGCAGTGGAAATCCACCGGCTGAAATCGTGTGGATTTCAAGCAAGTGGCGGGGAAGGCAAAGTCAGGCAACGGGGCAGAGACGCAGCCGCTTCCAGTGCCCGGGTCGGGTTTATTTAGCGAAGGGAAGAAGCCTGCGGGAGCGGGCCAGGTACCGGGTTGGCAGGGGAGCTCGCCCGGGTGCCTCCACACTTGCACCGGGAAGGTCGGCTCGCCGCGCTCCCTGCCAGCCGCAGCCCGCGGGGCTGCTGCTCCTCCGTGCGCAAACCTTTCCCCGCGGTCCTTTCTCTCGCGGTGCCGGAGTCGCCGTTGCTTTTTCTTTTTTTCTAATTTTTCTTTTAAATTGCAATAGAAATAAAACATCCTCTGGGTGCCATCGAAACCGCGGGCAGGTTGTGTTCCTTACCATCCTCCGACCACCTTGTCAGGCTGGGGCCCGGCTGCCGGCGCGGAGCTGGAGAGGGCTGTGCGCCCCTCCGCCGCCGAGGACTGGCTGCGCGGCGGCCGAGAGCCGAATATTTATGTTATATTTTAACAAATTTAAATAAATAAATAAATATATAAAGGGGTTCTCCCCTCCCCTGAAAACCCAGCATAGGAGCCATCTGCTCGGAGCCTTCGCTGCTGCCATCTCTTCTTTGTTACAGCAGATACATTAGTAAGAATTTGTGGATTTATGATTATTTTTTGGGGAGGGGAATAGATATGAAAGTGGGCTTGCCTTGGGAGAGGGACGCCTTTCTGGAGGGAGGGAAGAGGGCTTCTCTGATATTTTTCACTATTGTAACATCAAAGAAGACTTGCTGGTTGCATTTAAAACAAAATGTTTTGCAACCAGATTTGAGCCTGGTTTGATCAAGGTCCTTTTCGCCCGTTGACATTTAGCCCTTTATCGAGCCTTTAGCAATCTCTTATTCTACACCCCCACTCCCCACTTTAGATGGTGGAGCGGCTGTTAGAATGTCTGTAGTTGCAGACACCTAATTTCTCCAGGAGGCAATTTGCCCCACAGAGCCCCTGTATAATTGCAAGGGGTGCTTTTGAGGAAGGGGAAGTTGGGGGGGGTGCTCCGGGAAGGGGGAGTTATGGGGGGGGGTGCATTGCCAAGCTGGCAGCAGCGAAGGAGCCAGGAGTGTTTGCACTTGTGTGTAAAGGGGGAAAGAAGCAGGTAGGTTTGCTTTGCTTTTGCCCTCTCCCCGTCTGGCATTCCTGGGACCTCGGGAACAAGCCCTGGCCGGGAGCACGGGTGGCGGCTGGGCGGCGTGGGGGGCCAGGGCTGCCTGGTGCAACATCCTTCCCTCCTTCGTTGGGTCCGTGGCTGTCTCAGCCTTGCTCAGAGCAGGGCTGGGAAGAGCCTGGCTGACACTGGGGCAGGGGCTGGGAAGGAGAGATGGGGAGAAGGAGACCAGGGGGTGGGGGGCCAAGGATATCCTGCCTGCTCTTCAGGGGCCCATGGAGCCCAGGGCATGTGCAGAGGTTTAAGAAGGGAGAGTGGTCCAACCAGTTCTCAGACAAGGCTATTTATTATCCCCAAAGCAGCTGGCTTTTCTGTCTGTCCTGTGTCACCCTGGAGGTGGGACTGCAGGCAGTGGGAAAGGCAAGAATGGGATGCAGTTTAGGCTTAGGGCCTGTACAAATGTGTCTCTCCTCCTCAACGATGCAGGAGTCGTGGGTCTCAGGTGCTCTGGAACCCTGGCCAGCCAAATGGGTGCTGTCACAGCCCTGATCGGGGACCCATGTTTTAGCTTTTAAATGAGAAAGAAACTACCTAAAGCATGGTACATCTTCAGTTGGGTGGCAGCCCGCTGGCTTCAGGTTCTTTTGAGATGATGCAACTTGGGATAACTGATGGTCTGAGACATAGAAGAGCACACAAACCGCATCGACAGTCTTGGGGGTGGGGGTGGGGGGCTGGCAAGGCGGAGAAGGACTCCACAATGAGCTGGTTAAATTTACAGACAGGGCCAGAGAGAAGAGTGCGGGAGGAGAGTGTGGGAGACAGCTGGGGATGAAGACCTAGGCTTCTGGTTTGTTTCAAAATGTTTGACCCAGATGGATATGGCTTTCAAAGCCGGAGGACAGACACAGCTATTAATAAAAACAAACGCAAAACAGCCCAGTGACAATAGTGAAGAGGGGAGGATGAGGGACAGTGGACTGACCAGGCAGAGAGGGAAGGGCTGTGAGCCGACTGTGCCAGGCAGTGTGAATGGAGAGGCAGAGGAACCCCAGCCTGAGACTTCCCGGAGGAAATAACAAGCCCGGGGTAGATAACTCAACTCCAGTGCAGGCGATTTTATTTTTCAACAACCTCCCCAACAGGTTTCCTTGGAAGATTAGTAATTTTCCGTACGAGTTCACGATTTTGCAAAACAACTAGAGAGACCCAAGATTTGATGCAGAAGTTAGGCTCACCGCGTTAATTCCATGGTTGCCTTTTAAATTAGGTTTTGTTGTAGCTGTATGTTTTGAAGGCCGCTGTGCTTACAATTATCTTAACTCCCCAGGGTAGAGTGTATCTCCAGGTGTCCACGTATCTTTCAAAATTGGGCCTCTGATAAATTTCATCAGATCTGGGCCCCTCTGTTTTTTTGATAATTCTGGGAGGGGGGAGTGAAGTTTGTCCCCCTTCTGCACAGAAGGGAACCCCATATCATTAGAAGTGTGACATAAGTCAGCTGCTCTGATTCTAAGGGAGAGTAAAACTGTGTTCATCCAAGGTGTTATGCCAGGCTGATTTTATTCATTTGTAATTCACACCTGAGAGAAGACAGCCATGAGCATATTTTAACAACCCCTAGTATTTTTAAAGGGTAGTCTTTCTCTCCCTGAAAATTGTGTACAGTGGCATATTTCTTTCTTTCTTTCTTTTTTTTTGAGGGTGGGAGGTGGGGGGGGGGTTTGCCCTCTGTGTGTGCTTTGGCCTTGGCGATTTTTGTCCGGCCTTCAAAATATGTCGTAACAGAAAAGCAAGTCATTTCTGAAACGCCGGAGTGAAGACAGTTGCTTTGGGGAAGCTGGCCTAGGAACGTGGAGGGAGAGCTGAGGTCAGATTGGGTGGGATGCTTTGATGGCCACTGTGCAGGGCCTCTGGGTCTTAGGGTTCCAAAGGGCAGGCCAGCTTTGGGTGCACTGGGCAGTAATCAGCCTTCTGTCTCAGGGGAACGGGAAGCAGGCAGAGCAGTTGTGTTCCCACAACAGTTCCCCGCTGCAGAACACACCAGTTTCTAGCTCCTTATCAGAATCGAGCTCTTGGCGCTTGCCTTTGGGCTCAGAACACGGCTTGCCCTCACCTTCCCTTTTTCCTTTTCATCTCCTTTCTCAGATCGCTTTGCATTCTCTGTTGCTTGTTGTGATAAAAGACTTTCCAAAATAAACTTTCAGTTGAATTGGCTTTTGGTGGATGGCAGGGCTGCAACGCCCAGAGGTGCCTGGCGCCACTTGGCAGCTAGGGGGAGCTCGGTGCCCGTGTCATGCGTGGAGCCGGCGCCGCGAGGGGCCGGACCGGGCTTCCATCAGCCGCGAGAGCCGTTTACGTTGCTGCAAAATGTCTTAAGTGTGAAGTTGTAATATTGATTTTCCTGCAGAGAGTCGAGCAGGACAAAATGAGAATATAAGTTTGAGAAATCTATTTTCAAGCTATCGGCATTGATTTACAAGCCTTCGCTAGGCAGATGGGGGGACAGTTTTTCTTTTTAATTTTTCTTTTTGAAAACAATTGCAATGCTTAGTTTTGAACGAGTGTGGTCTGTGGTCTTGACTTTCTGAATTCCATTGGGTCGCCGAGGCACACGGGATGGAGTGTGTGGAGGGTGGGGTCTGGGAAACGTGAACCTCGTTTTGTCCGTTTCTGTGTTGTATGTCACAGACCCTGGGATCTGCCGCTGCCGTGGGGAGTCATGTGTCTAAAACAGCTTGATGAATGGAAATCCTTTCAGCTCAGATTTTATAACACTCGGATTCTCAATTCCATTTATTAGGTAATGTTCCCACTGTACTAAGGGGAAA